ACAAAGAGCGGGGTGATGCCCCACCTCAGGCAACAGCCGTGGCAATCTAATGATGATTCAAGCTGAAAGAAGCAATCTTCATGAAAGGAAACATGCCTGAACCAACAAGCACAGCGAGGTGCCAAAAGGTGCTTTGGGTTTGTGGCTTGGAAGGGACCGTCCGGCACTTGGCGACTTGGAAATGCGATTCTTAAATGCGCTGCATGGACTCCGGCCCCCTGTCCCAGATTTGCATCACACATGTCACTCCCTGCTTGCAAATTGCGCACGCACTGAGAAGGACCGCATGTCTCGCGCCAGCTGTCTAGCCAAGGGGCTCTTTAAACTGTTCCAGCTCCTTGTCCACGAAACCAAAGATGCCTCGGGCCGCAGTTGAGTTGCTGGCTGGTGTGGACTTCCTTGCAGTTGTTGGGTTTGTGCGCAGGGTTTACTTTCAGTGGGGCTTGGGTTGCTTTGGATGGGTTTGGGGCTGACATGGCTGTTATCACGATTGGCGTTGCCGGGGTCCAATGTTGGCTTTGGGGCTGAGTTGAGCCCTTTAACTAATGCATTGATGCTTGACACTTTTTGCGAAGCAACCAACTCTCCGATCTGATCGACCAACCGCCCGCCGCCGGGGCTTGGAAAAAAACCCTCCCCGCCCTTCCAATCGCAGCAAGGATGCCGGGAGGTATTCCTCCCAGGGCATCCGCGAAGGGGTCCTTCAGCGCCTGGATGGATCGCAGCCAGAAAACCGCGTCCACGCCCACGTGCACATTGCGCAGCCTCAGTTTGTGATGACTTCGCGTCGCAAAAACTTGGGAGCAAGCCGTCCAGGGCCATCCCGATCGCGCCAACTCAGCGCCGCGCTCCGAGAGCTTGCTGGTGTTTACAAGGCCCTGGTCCTGAAACACCGCCATTCGTGCCATAATGGGTCCAGCTGACTGGTTGCACTTTTCAGGGGGGGGGGTGAGGCCCACTGTCAGGGGCATCTTATCTTTGAAGGGAACCGATACTTTGTGGTAGTAGAGGATCTTTATGTGGTGGTCCTGGATCTATTCCGGAGAGTTCCAAGTGTCAATACTGATGGATTGATACTGGATAAGCCCTGGTAAACTGTGTGTTGTGGTTTATCCTGAAAGTGGTCCGCTAGCACCTGTGCATCACGGATGCAATGGCTCAGTGAGCTATGTACATCTGATGTGTGACATGACTGGCCTGGAGCCAAAATGGTAACATGTTGAATGGAGATCAATGGGTCCAGAAAACAAACACAAAACAGATACAAATTCTTTTGATCTCCAGCACTGATTTCCTATTGGCTTATTAGCCTTCGACCGTAGCAATTCAAGTGTGTGCCGTAGCCATGAATGTGTCAATGACAGATAACATATATATCTTGTCAGACTTAAAGAAACTGTATTCATGCCTTTTTGGCGCGGATGAACCGTCTTTGTTGGCAAAAGCAAAAGGAAACTCTGTACTGTTGCGGATACCTAATTGTATCAAAAGATGATGTACGATGCTATGTACACGCAGGGTCATTGTGAAACCTACTGGCCTCTCACAGAATAATACTGCTGATGGTGAGGATCAATTGGTCGTCATTCGTGGTGCTTTTCTTGCGCGATCTCTTCTCAAGCTTCTGAAAGCTTTTCATCGCTTCCACGGACGGCTGCTTGTTTCCGATTGGCTGTAGTGGTCACAGTCGCACCAATTCGAAGACTATAGCCGTTGCATCCAGGTTGATCGTAGGCGCAAGATTTGTTGTATCCCCACGAGCTTCCCCAGGTATTCTCCTTCTTCTTCTCATTGTACTCCTTGGCTCTCTGGGTGTCTCGTTCCTTGCTCTCGGATCGGCTTCGAATGTAAACCAATAAGCGGGCTGTGTGAATCTGCATTACGTGGGAAATTCAGGGACATCTCGTTGGTGATGTGCTTGCCCTGTGAATCCGTCAAGACAATTAGCGGGGGCAAGACAATTTTACCGTGAAAGTTAATTATTACCGTGGGCAGGTTTTTTACCGTTGCCGTTGCCGTTGCCGTTGCCGCGGAAAGTTAATCTTTTAACGGGGAAATTGCCGTGGCTGTTGCCGTGGCTGTTTGCCAAGGTGCAGTAGTTTCGCAGTAATTCCTTCCAAACTACTGCGATATTATCTCCAGCGCAGTAGTTTCGCAGTAGTTAGTTCCAAACTACTGCGGAATTAGCTCCAGTGCAGTAGCTTCGCAGATCTTCGCAGTAGCTACTTCCAAAATAGCCGTTGCCGTTGCCGTTGCCGTTTTTGTTGCCGCGTTTTTTGCCGTTGCCGTTGCCGTTGCCGTGAAAAGTTAATCTTGCAAGTCAATTAAGAAGTCACTAATTGCCGCGAAATGGGAATTGCCGTGAAAGTTATTTTTTACCGTGGGACTCTTTAATTGTCTTGACGGATTCGTTGGGTGAAGCGCTCAGCTGAGGTCACCTGCTAACCGGAAACGATTAGCGTGGTCTCGTCCTGCATTTTCTTTTTTCCCCCTTCGGTCATGGACTCATACTCGGAAGCGATTTTGGGGAAGTCTTCATGTAAAGATGCTGACGTACGATTGCCTTCATCGTGCAGAAAATAGCCATATTCTTTCTTCCATGGGCATCCGCCTTGTCGTGTTCCATGTGTCCTGGTAGGTCTGCATGATGTGGTTGATCAATCCAAATTCCGAATTATAGACCGCTGCAATCGGCTGAAAGTGTTGGCGGATTTGTTTGCGTCGCCCGTGATTGCGTCACATTGGTATGTCGTGACAAGTGGCATGATTCCACTTTGGAAATCCTCCCTGGCTGGAGTACCAGCCTGATTCACTCCAATTCCATGATGGATCCCAATCTTGGTCTGTCCAACCGGCATAGGTAGGCTCTGTGGATGGTGCAATCTGCTGCCGTGGCTGCGAACGTTTTGGATTTTCCTTTGTCATGTCCGCCTTTTCCTTTGCCAGTGCCATAGGATGGATAACCCTTGTTTCCATCCTAGGGGTACTGGAATTTCGGTTTTCCTTTCTTCCCGTTCTTTCCTATCTTTCCTTTGCCTTTTCCCCAATATGCCTGGTCGTAGGGATGTTGATTTTCGTTGGCCATATTGGCCTTCCCGCCGGAGCCGCTTTTTCTGAAAGGTTTGAAGCCACCTCGTTGGTGACCCCCCTTTTTGCTTCCTGATTGTCCTTTTCCTTTTTTCTTCTTGAATCTGAAATTGCGCCCAGACACCTTCCTTGCAACGAACGCATCATTCTCCTCCAAAACCCAAAAAGTCTCTGCATCATTATTCGCCATGAATCCTTCAACTCCATCTTCGTCTTCCACCTGGAAACCTTCTTCGCCTTCATACTCCGCTTGTTCTAGGATGTAGAAGGCGTTACTCCGATTTCCTCCTGGAGGTCGGATGGATGGATCTTGGATGGATGTTCTCGTTGTAATGAGGAGATCGTGGTACTGAGTCTTCATCATCTCGTAGGTGCAATTCTCGAGCGCGATGGTTCTCAAAGACATTGCACTGATCAGTCTTTCTCTCTGCTGATCTGACAATTCACTCTGGATGATGACAAATTGCGCAATGAGATTGTCGCTGAGGGGAAACGCGTCCTCGTGTCTTGTCTGCATGCCATTCAGTAGTCTGAGTGCTTCTGGATTGTCTGGACAGCAGATCTGGAGGCGCGGCTCTGGCACCGGCTGCTTGCTGATGCGCGGCCATTCTTCTTGCATTGGCATCGTGTACTGATGCTATGAACTCTGGTGACTGTGAACAGGCATCAAGTCCATCCAGGCTGCCTTCAATCTCATCAAGAGAATTTCAACTTTGATGTGAATATGAGGAACACGGTGTTCTGCCTTCTGTGATTGAAGAAACTGAGAAGCCTGTATAAGTAAACGTTCGTCGAGCCGAAGAACTTCTTCAGCGTGTTCTTGAAATAGTTGGCTCCTTCTTCAGGATCTTGCAAAACGTCAATGTGAGTGTCTGCGATGGGCCTGCTCCTGAGGAGTGGTCCTCTCTTGGATGCTTCGAGCGCTGTGAAGGTCACCCAATCACTCTACGAGTTCTTCATATCTACACTGCTTGGCGGTCATCGATAAGTTGGGCGTCTCTTCAGTGAAGCCATGGGACCGGCCTACGCTTGAATAGGCCTCCATGAAGCCTTCTCCATCGGATGACATCCTGTTTGGATCTCTTGCAGAAAACCCGCTCCGCTACCACAAGTTGAGGCTCACGGCCAGGGGTATCTTATCTTTGAAGGGAACCGATACTTTGTGGTAGTAGAGGATCTTTATGTGGTGGTCTTGGATTTATTCCGGAAGAATTCCAAGTGTCAATACTGATGGATTGATACTGGATAAGCCCTGGTAAACTGTGTTGTGGTTTATCCTGAAAGTGGTCCGCTAGCACCTTTGCATCACGGATGCAAAGAGCTATGTACATCTGATGTGTGACATGAAAGGCCTGGAGCCAAAATGGTACCATGTTGCATGGAGATCAATGGGTCCAGGAAACAAACACAGGGGGGAGGGACCGTGTAAAGAGGCTCCAACATAACTTTCTTATAAGCTCTTTGTGCTTGCCAAGGGGTAGTTCGGTGATTCAAGGCTGCAAGCCGTTAGCCTCATGCCCTCCCGCCCGTCCTGCAAGTGCGTCTGGAGATGTCTCACGCGCATTTTCTGTGCGCACCTCCTGTCGGATCTGGAGCCGGATGGTGGCCAGCCAAACGGCTTGGGGGGAGCACGAGCAGGCACTAAGCTGTGGTTCGCTGGAGCCAAAAGCCGCATTGGACGAAGCAGGCACACATGTGATACAACTCCTTCCTCCAAGGTTTAGAGGGACAAGAGATGTTGAAGTGCACTCAGCTGCAATTGCCACTGATCTATGCTGCCAATGCTGCTGAAATGTTTGCTCCACCCCCTGCTGATTCGCAAGAAAGGCGCTCCAGAATCTGCAAGCTGCGAACCACCGGCCAACCGTCAGGAAAGAAAAACATCCAAAAGCGCCATGCCAAAGCCAAGTTGCTCCTTCCGCCTTGCTTGCTCTGCCTGCCGACTGCGTTCTTGTGGCTCACGCAGCCGGATTTTTTGTTTCTAAGGCAACTCTGCATACAAAGCGCAAGGTAGCGCCTTCTTGGCTTCGACCTCCTCATCAGAGGCTTTGGCCTTCTTCCTTGGAAAGTCTAGCGGCGCATTGTGCCTGCAAACCCTGATCAAGGCATACGCCTCTGGACATCGACCATTTTTGCCACATGGAAGGAGTTCCCAGCACTCAGCCTGTTCGCCAGTTCCGCTTGTGGCACAAGGCTCTGCTTCTTGATAGGGATTGGCTCCTCTGCCTCCGGGCGCGCTTGCATCAAACACGTTTCGCTTGGACAGTCTGGAGGGCGCATTTGTCTTTAGAGCGCTCACACGACTATTCTCAGGAGACTCCAAGCGCTTTTATGTGGCCGGACCGTTTTTTCACTCTGTTTTTTTCCGCAAGCTTCCCACCACTCCCTTCCCCTCCAGCGTTTTGTGTGAGGTGTTGTTTTTGCCTGAAGTGTTGATTTTTCTATTTCGGCGCGCGATTCAGTAGCTGAGTTGTTGCGCCGGCCGACTGCGATGCCGAGGGCGATTGCGACGTACGCTTTCTTTGTTTTGTGACCCCCCCCCCCCGGGCGAACGCATAGTACGAGAAGTGTGAGAGAAGTGTGAGCACAGAATCCCTGCCCCGCAGGGCGAAAAAGCGCCGCGACAGCATCTTGGCAACAGAATTCGCCCCCTCACAGCAGCCTGTGCAACAAGGCACGGCACAAAATCGCTGTGCACAACAGCATGCTGCACCCTTCTACGTCCCCTGTGGTCGCAGTCCCGCTTGTGCCAGCCAGCGCCCTGCAACAGCACCTTGCGCAATGGCACCCTGCGCAATGGCACCTGCCAGAAATTCCCCGTCACCCTGACACTGACTCTTCTTTTCTTGAAGATAGAACTCGCAAACAGAGCTCAGGTGGCCGTGGGTCAAACATGTGTACCCAAAATGGAACCCTGGTAAGTGGAAACATGGACGATTTAACCTGCGGTCCGCTGGTGGTGTTTCATTTTGATTCATAACCAGGTAGCACCTGAATGCCACAACCTGGCCATCCCCACACACCCTCAACACCTAATGTTATCCCCGGATTAATAAACCCCTGGTGGACTCATAGAGGGGTGTCCCCTTTTAGTGGGGATTCAGACCACTTTTGGAGGGATTCCACCCCCCTAAGAATGGGACGGGTCTACTTAGATCCTGGGTCAACACCTCGCAAGTTGGTTGAGTCGGGGCCTGTGCCTTGGACTCCTCTGCTGCTGGCGACTCCTCCCCGTTGCTCTTGGCTTTGGACTTCTTCTTTGCCTTCCTGGGATCCGCCAAACCAGAATGCCCCATGCGGCAAAAAAAACTGTCTTGCAAAGGGTCCCTTGAGACGAAGTAAAAACTCGCGTCGTGAACATCTGGCAACAAGTGAACTATTGCAAAGCAGAGTGCTGGCTGGCTTCAAGTGCAGGTGAACAAGTGTTCAACTGGCAATTTATATTTCAAGGACTTGACGAGACGCAGGAAGCAATAGAAACAAGCTGCTCTGCTCAGACACTGTATGTCCGAAACGCATCTGTATGCAACAAGTTGTGACTTAGACATCCGCGAAGGACGACAAGCTGCACAGTTGCAGTCGGGCATCTTTGATTGCCCAGCCTTTCGTGGACATATGCCTTGGCATGTCTCAAGATCCTCAACACGAATCAAGTGTGCGATGTGTTAACATTACATTGTTGATCACTCCATGTCGTGACTCCCTTGCGTCTGGCGAAATGAAATCAACTGGAACCAGCTTCCCCTGATCTGCGGCTCAACTGATCGCAAGGCCTAACGTAGCGCGCCAAGCCGCAGCAAAAGGCCAGGGGCAGCAGCACCACCACCGCCGCGGCGGCCAAAAGCCCCGCTAGCATCGAGGGATTGGCGCCCGCAGCCTTGCCATGCAGCCCAGCAATTCATCACGCAAAAATCCTCTTGCTTCAGGTGCGGTTCTCATTCGGTAAATGATATTTCTGACCGGGGTGTGCCATTTACCCAGGTTTTCTTTGCTAAGGGTGGGGCCATGTCTCACTCTAAACCAGCCGGGCGACAGCCCTGCGGACGGCGCACGCGATTAGCTTTTTGTCGGAAATGATCCAAAGCTGGGCAAAGCTCAGTGCTCCCGCGGGGTGCCACTGAGAATGAGCAGCCTAGCACTGACACACCGACACGGAAGTCCATGGCGGAAGTCAAAATCTGCACAAGCATCGTTGCAATTGGAGTGCGGACGAGTGCGAGCCTCCTAAGATACTAAGTGTCCACGTTCAGATATGCCATAGTATTTCTTGGTTGGTCACCACGTCTCATACTTGAAGCGTTGGAATGCTCACACCATCTCACATCCAACAAACGCCACGGGGGCCAGGAATTGCCCGTTGGCCGAGAGCAATGTGGTGGCGTTTACCACGCGAAAGCAAGCAACTACGCCTACCGGTCCGACCTCTCCTGATTTATCTGCTCTCCAAAAGCACTCGACTTCAGGAATTGCATGATTCGCATAGGTTGGACAAGGCAAACAAATATTTGATACACCACACGCGCTTGGGCCAAACACCGCCAAACTCCTCTGCGGTTGGGCCAGCAAAAGAGAAGCCATGCGCTCTTGGGGCTTCAAGGCTTCTCCTCTTGCTTCGCCTCACAGGCTTTGGTGCTCCTGCGGCTGAGCGGGCAGGGCAAGTTCCACTAAAATCCGACGCCAAATCAGGTTCCCTCAAAAAGGGGGGTGGTTTGGAGCCCGCTGGTCTGGAGCCGGTTTGGTTGGTTGGTTGAGCTTTCCTGCTAGCCTCTACAAGAACCAGGGGGGTCAATTCCAATGACCACGAGAATTGTCCAAAGGCATGGCCTCCTGCGCCACAGAAACAATAGGGCCATCAGCACCACCAGGCGTAGCGCTTGCAGCTGCCAGCTGCCTGCAGGCAGCTGGATGTGAATCACGGGCACTCAGCCCTGGGGGCTGGGCAGGGAGGGGAGGGGAAGGGAGCCCAAATAAGCCTTATTTGGGCTCCCTCCCCTCCCTCCCTCCCTCCCCTCCCCTCCCCTCCCCTCCCCTCCCCCCCTCCCTCCCCTCCCCTCCCCTCCCCTCCCCCCTCCCTCCCTCCCCGTGCAAGCCAAGCCGAGTCCGTGCCCTCACCTCTTGGGTCCCAGGTCACCGAGTGCATCCGTGCCCCGGGCAGACCGGCGCGCGCCCGCGGCTGGAAGTTCCAGCCGTAGGCCTAGCCAGGCGTTGCCCACGCCCTATGAGAACATACTCACTTGGCCAGTGACCAGCAAAAAAAAAACAAAGTGTACACTTTTTGGGCCACCAAAAAAGTAAAAAAGGGAGAGCCACCAGGGAAAAAAAGTGTAAAGTGTGTCCACTGGCTGGGTGAGCATACGCCCGTGGTGATGTGAAAATGTTGGCTCTTCCTACAATGGCTTGCCCTGGTAAATGGACATTCTTGGACGAAAACCTGCGAACCTGGGCGGGCGGTGAAAAAAAATGACCCATATACTAATATGTAATTTGTGCCGAAGATGTTCTCCTTGCTGATTCCCTCTTAGTGGCGTAGGCGCAGCCTCCTTCCAGGTCTTCCTCCAGGCATCCTGGACAAACTGAATGAAGGCTTCTGACGTAGCCTGGGCCGAGTTTGACCCCCGAGGCCTAACTCAAGAAGGCATTTGCTGCAAGAGCTAGATCGAAGTCAGATCAGTGAACCAAACTATGTCTCTCTCTCTCTCTTTCTCTTGTGTGCTATCCCGCCAAACTCTACCTATACACAAATGCAGAGATGTATGTTGCCAATGGAGACATGAGATTGTAGATGTGCACAACCCGGTGCGAACACCAAGCAGCAAAGCTCCGCGGATAGATCGCCTCTGACACGGAGCTCACGCACAGGGAGCCGCAGTGCACCATCATCTCAGACTCGGAGGTCACGCGCTCCTTGTTGCTGGTGATGACCACCTTTCGTAGCAATCGCGCGATGGGGAAGATTCATTTACCCCTCATCATCAAGCCCCCCAACACTCAATCATTCAGTTGTGCTTTCTTTGACCATGCACTTCCTCAAGTGCCTTGCTTTGAGCTGGCCTCCTCACTTTGCCTTCCCTGCACCTCTTCTGCCTGATTCGACTTTGTTTCCACATGCTTCAATGCAATGCTTTCGCTTCCGCTGCCAATCTACACACAAGCTTGGGCAACACGGTTGCTGCGACAAGTCATGCATTGCGATGCTTGCATTGAAGTGGCTGTGGGTGAAAAGCAGGTACCAAAATGGCACCTTGGTAAACGGAACCATAACCCTAAGCCGTTCATTTTGAGCCACGGCCAAGTGTCTCTCGGACCCTAGGATCGGTGCAGCCGCGCAAGCTCGTCAACTCAAACAACTTGCTCCTTGCACAGTGGCCATGCCAATCTTCTCTCTATCCTTCCAATTTCATCGGACGATCGCCGAAAAACGAGCCCAAAAAGAACGCAGGTCGTTTTGAGCCACAAGTGCCACGTGCCCCCTCGGACCAAAAAAAAAAAAAGCGGCTCGGCGCCCGCCGGGTCGGTTTTCCGGCCGGCCCCCGGCCCCGTCGCTTCGCCGCCTGCACGGGCCAGCCGAGTCGATAGGCCGCGGCGAGGGCCCCCAACTTCAAGGGCGCGCCGCCGGGGAGCAGCGAGCGAGTGCCCTCGGGGTAGAGCACCACGCCCTTGTGGCAGTAGTGCCGCATGCCTTGGTGCTCAAAAGGCCGGGAAGGAGTTGGACACCCCAAGCTACAAAAAAAAGAATCATCCCCAAGGAAGCCGCCAGTTGGATGCTCTTCTTGGGGGTTCCATTTTTTATCCCCTGAGCACCGGCAAGCTTCGAATCGAATCGGGAATCGGAATCCAGGGACATGGGGGAAGGCAGGTGTTTCCAACTGTAGCAATTCATCAAAGCGCAAGAAGCTGGCGGACGAAATCAAACCTGCCAAGCCATCTGCCGCTACATCCGCAAAGGATTGTCCAAATGTCCAGGCGAGAGTTCACCAAGCAGCCGCATCAACCTGTACCGCTACCTGTGCGACTCATTTGGGTGTGGCTCAAAATTAAAGAGCTGGGGCTACGCAGGCTGGAGTGTTTGGTTCCATTTACCCAGGTGCCATTTCGGTACATGTTTCTGAGCCACAGCCATTTTAAAAATGGCATCCGAAAGCCTGCATCCGAAAGCTCACCGAGACAAGAAGCGATCCAGCCAGAAGTTCGCCGTCCAGGCCACCACACCTTCCGCATGATGCTTGCCGCGCCTCGGGTCCGTGCGCCCTTTGCGCGCCGAGCGGGCCCTGACGTGACGAGAGATGAGCTGTGCCACCCACTGCGCTGCAACATGAAGACACGGTGCACACTTGTTCACATCATTTTGCCATTTGCCTGGCCCCCCCCAAGCATTTCAAGCGAGATCACCCCCATTTCAAGCAAGCCCAACCCAGCTAAGCGCAAAAAGCACGAGAAACCCGTGGAGGCTCCAAGGCGCTCAAAGAGCCACAGCCAGCCGCCGAAATGCCCCCAGGCTGCAGACCAGGGAATGGCTGCTGCCACCAGGGCACGCGCAATGAAGGAGGGCCCGCTCAGCAGCGCGGCATCGGTCCAGAAGTCTCCCCAGCTCCTTGGGCGACATGTGGCGCCGGAAAAACAAACAAATTCTGTCAGGCAAGCCCGGGCGCAACCGGCAGAAAGCAAGCTGGAAATTCGTGAGCCAAACCGAAACGACACAAACTCAACAAACCCAGCGAAACCAGAAGGGTCGCCGGAGCCACATCTGGCTAGCTGGTGTGACGCTGCTGGTTCTATTGGCTCTCTGGTGCATTTCGTGCGGTATCCCGTGTCGCCGGACCTGATTCAAGAAATATGCAGTTCACCCTGCTGGTCCTGTGATTGCACAGGTATACCACCGGATTGCCATTGTCTAGCACCTGGCAGGGCGGTTCTGCAGTGCTCTTTTGGCGAATGAGTCTACTAGAAGGAGGGGGGCGCAGGGAAAGCGCGCCATCACCACATGAAACTGGAGGTGCTATGTGAAAACCATCTTCCCATACCTACCCTGGGGCCAGCGGCGCAAAAAGGCGCAAAGCTTGCCTATGCTTCATCGTTTGGGGGTTGAGCAATCAATGACCAAGGACAGGTGATCTGTTTTGGTGGTTTCTCTGATGGTCATCCCATGTCAAGGACCTCTTCATCCACTCCCATTTGACGTTTGTCCTTGGCAACCCACATCACAGGCCTGGCTCGCCCCGGCAAAGGTGGCAAAGCGAATGCGCAGCAGGCGCAGAAAGTTCTCAGCCACCTGGGAAATCATTGCCTACCTGCCACGTCAGCAAGAAGGCATGTTGTGGCTCATGGCAGCTTTTCTTGGGCGGCTCACACAGGTCTTGGCCCTTGAACCGTTGGCACATGCTGTAAGCTTCCACAAGTGTCCAATGATTTCGGGCGGACATCTTGGCCGCCCAAATCAGCAGAACTTCACACACCCGATGCTACGGGGAACAAAAGGACAAAAACTCCTTCGGTATGCAAGCTCATGAGGGCATATGAAAACTCGCCTCTCCTCTTGCAAAGCAAACGGCAAGCAGTACCTTGTGCCTAGTCTTGTGGGATGGACGTGTCCTGTGCCTAGTGGCTTGGTGGGACTCAAGTCCGCTCCTGAAGGCATCAAAAGGCGGCGAATGGCCAAAAGGACATCTACTTCTCTGTTGCTGTTGACCCCTCTAGTGAACAACTTTTGGTGTTGGTTTAGTGGCAAACCCAACTTGGCTTCAACCAACAAGTCTAAAGTTCAACCAAAAAAGTTTCTTGAATTGACCCCTTTTACCTTTTTTTCCTTGAGTTCAACCGAAAAGTCTAAAGACCCGTTGCCCAACCGCAGTCAAGACTTAAGGCCCCCTGCCCAGCCAGGGGAGACTCGCACCCCCAGGAGCAGCAGCAGGAACGCCGCCAGGCTCCCACCCTGCCAGGCTCCGTGAGACACGGGAGGATCTTTAGGGAAAACCCGCCCCCAACAACGTGAGACATATTTCAACCACTAAGTGGTTGAAAAAAGGCGCCTTGGCCATTTGGCAGGAAGGTTGGCAAAGCAACACAATAGCAAACTGCCAGCTCCTGAAAGCCAGCTTGAGATAGCTTCAGACCCTTGCGAACAGCCCACACCCACACCTGTACAGTGGCCAGGTACAGGAGAAAGCCGGCTGTCGAGCTCTTCATTTCTGGCGTGGGCTTAAGAAATGCTGCTGGGTTGATGTCGTGCCTGTTTGAAGGTATGCATTGCTGGCAGCGTCTTCGATGTTTGCACCCGATTGACATGGCTTGAGCTTGAGGCTGCGGCATGCAATGCAATGCTTGTCCCACTGCTACTTTGGCTTAGTCCCACTGCTACGTCCGGAGAGCCGGATCTCACACCGGAAGAAACAAAAACCGTCGTCCGGCCGACTCCGAGACCGAATCCGACCAGCTTCCACGTGCCACTGCCCATAGTGCACAGTGCAACGTGCACGTGACGCACCCAGGGGAGAAAAAAAAAAAACATCAGCTGGAGCAGCAACGAAGCTCTTGGGTAGCCATGCGCGTGGATTGGCAAGCGCGTGGATTGCATCCGCGTCTCCGCCTCCAAGAGAGGCGCCAGCGAGGCCATGGAGGCCATGGCCGGCGAGAGCCGAAGCCGAAGCCCCTCCCCGCGTCTCCAATTGCAGCGGGAGCGGGCGAGTCGATTTTCATTTAATGACCCGCAGAAGATGTGCTGAACATCGGGGCCTCGGGATATGTCAAAATCACACACCACGGAAGCAAATCGAAGTAAGATAAACTTAGTGTTCATGGTCGACTGCCAACTGGTTACACTCATGTTTCGGCAGAAAGGCGCCAGCCTCTGGCAGGCTTCACTGGATTCCACTGGCTTGCCAGGATGTGGCGATGTGAGTACGCGTGACTGACCCCTGCCCAGAGTTCACGCCTACCCCGTCCTTCGTCAAATAGTAGATGAGGGCAACTTTGCGATACCTTTGCCAAACTCCCAGACCACGGCATGCCCCAGCTCTGCCAAAAGCTACTCACAAGGGCCAATACAGGCCAATGAGTGCGTCCTCCTTCGGCAGGGGGGGAGGGACCCGTAGGGACTGTCCCGGTTCACTGCAGCAGCCCGTCTGCAGCAAAGTCAAGTGCTCATAAAGCAGCTCTGGCTCTGCATTCCCTTAAGTTTAACTTAAGTGCCGTGCACGGTGGCTCCACTTGGGTACGCTTCTTTTGTGGCTTCTTCTGGTCGTACCACCTCAGGGTTGCATCTGTACATCTTTCGCATTGTTTGCCCAACCATGGCTTTCCAAGAGTTTTGGCGATCGTGTCTCATCTGGGGCCGCATCCCAGCGCAGTGCATCGTTGTGGAGCGTGATCTTGCCGCCCGCCTCGTACTTGGCACCTCGGGCGTGAAACCGTGGCATCCGCTCTGCGAGTCTTTCGAGTATCGTGTCTTGAGACTTGGGACCCGTCGGGGCCGCTGAGCGAGATTGCTTTATGACGCGTTATGCTGGCTTCCGGCCACCATCCGTGGAGTTGTGCGGTGAGACAGTGAAAGTGGCCACAGCAGGCAAAATCCGGGCTCGAAGTCGCGTGAATTTGGGAGGCGGAAGGTGCCTGGCCCAGAAATGGCTGTGACACTTCGTAACGTACACTGCTCAGAGGTAGATCCACAAGAGCATCAGGCCCGAGAGCACGTGAAGGGTGTGCTGCGGAGCCGCCTGCCAGCCAAAAAGCCCCTTTCGGATAAATGCCAAAGGCTTTGGGCCGTGCAGGAAATCGGCCAAGCTGCGTGTGACTTCTTGTTCTGGCCCGTGTTCTGGCTCTGGCTCATGTACATGGCTTGCTGGCCGCCCGGGCCTGGCAGCGGCATTTGGCTATGGGTCAAAACTCCGTACTCCCCGGAAAACATCCCAATCTCCACTAAAATAGGTTCCAAAATGCGTGCACCACCTTAAAATGGTACCGTTGGTTTGGACCCACGGCCATTTGGCTTCACTTGACTTGGTCCACGAACTTGGCGCTGGCCCTTTTGAGTCCTGCCTCCGAAGCCTGGCTGGCTGGACATGGCCTGGGCTTGGGCAAGGTACTGGTTCGGGTCGAAGCCTTGGCCCAGGTTGCTCTGCAGGTAGCCCTGGCTCTGATCCCGCGAGGGCCAGTGGCTTTAACCCAGCCGAAGTGAGTCACTTGCTCAAAACCCGGTACAACAATGGTCGTAATCCCGCAATCCCATGCTTCAAGAACTAAGAAGGCGGATATCCGCAGCTATTTATGGCAAGGGGATCGTCCCTTCACTTACCCGGGTGTCTTTTGTGGCCGAACTGGCGCTCCTGTTGGCGCTGGCGGGTCTGGAACAGCTCGTGCATGGCCTCCTGCAAGCGACATCATGGCTGTGGTTGTCAAAATTAGGTACCCAAAATGGCTTGTTCTGGACGGAACCATGGACTAAAACCTGCGTTCCGATTCCTGGTGGTTTAATTTTGGCTCATACCCACATGCATTTGCTGGCTGCCAAGCCAGGGAAAACAAAAGCAGAGTGGTCCAAGTCTGCCACTTGAAGCCTACTGAACATGGAAGGGGCCAAGGTTCGGGTACCCCAAGGTGGATGAAGTTGCATGTGACGCACCGGCTGAGAACTCCATGACACATCATACGCATCATAACACCATATATGTGTGTGCAAAGGACCTAGGGCAACTTTCTGCGGAGAACCTTCCCTCAGAAATGTACAAACCTGGCACCTGGCTAAATGGAAACAAACACTAAACCCTAGTGTGGATGGACAAAAAAGTCCTGCACCACTTGGAAATCATCGTTGAAACCATTCTTTGTTGGTATTTTCAGGGTTCTCTGAGGTGGTGCGAAACGGACTGCGCAACCTGAGCCACAGCCGACGCAGCCGACGCAGCCGACGCCATGAGCATCGCCTTCCCAGTCCTCCTGGCTCCTGGCCTTGGTGGCCAGCCCGCGCCGCGCATGGTCCAGGTGGCCTACGTACCGAGGGCTGAAATCGAAATAGATTTCCTGTGGGTTTCACTGGGGGCTGCGGGGGAGGGGAGGGGAGGGGAGGGGGGGAACTAAGGGCTTAATAAGGGCTTAGTAAGGGCTCCCTCCCCCTCCTTCTTCCCTTCCCAAGCCCTTATGAGTACCCCCAGTGAACGGGACCCAATCCAACCACTAAAATAGGTTCTAAAATGGGTGGTGAATTCACATACCCAAAATGGGGTTTTGACCCACAGCCAAATCCAAAAGCCGCACCACGACATGAGTCACCAGCGGAATGACACCGATGGAGGTTTGTTGGTATTTGCGGGGGAATCGAATCATTCCAGGGTTCCTTAGGTGGTGCAGGATTCTGTCCATCCACAGTAGGGCAGATGCAAACTAAACTGCTCCAAAAAAGCGGCCTGGGGGTTCCAGAAAGCAACACAACTGCACCGGCCACGCAACATAATGAAGCTTCTTTGGCTCCCCGCACACCGGGCGGGAACCCAGCCACTGCCTGAATAAGAATTCAGCTGCTTTGTCATGTCTTCGGCGAGGGCGCCAATCCTTGAGTGCCAGGGCAAAAGTATGCAAAAGTCATCACCATAGGTGTCCGAACAAAAAATGGCCCTGGTCAACAGAGCAAAACCCATCTAAACCAGTGCCTCCTATGTTTAATCAGAACCCAAAACGGACACCGATGGTCACCCGCAGCCCCCGCCACCTGAAAAATAACTGGGAGGGGTGGCCAAGCGCAAAGAAAACCCACCCTGGTCAGTACCAGAGTCTGCGTCAGCTCGTCCGAGGTGATCCAGTTCTCCTTGTCCTCCAAGCCCAGCTGCTTCTCGATCCTTGGCTGCTGAGGACAAGCAGCAGCAAAGAAAGCCCGGAAGATCCCATGGCACGCGCCAGGCCGATTTGTGCGGACTCCTTGTGGCGCCATGCCGTGGATGGATAAAACTTTGTAGCTAAGACGCCCTGGCATGACTCGATCCCCCAACGTAAGTACCAACCAACGTAGTGGTTTCAACCATGGCTTCTTAGGTGGCGCGAAATGAACTTCGCGACAGTCCACCAGCGCTTTGCCGGCCACGGCACTCCTGCATCTCCTCCACCAACATGGCCGCAGCCTCGTCGGACTGCTGGTTCAAAGAGTCCACCTCGGAAAATGTTGCGCGCGACCAGGGACCGGTCTAGGGGTTGATTCCCGTTCCATCCTTTTCAGCCATCGTTCTTTTCAAGAACCGATCGCCATTTCCCCAGGCGTTCGGTGGTGTTCTAGAAAGAAGGATACCCCTAGAACCATGGTCTAAAAGTACAGAACCAGGGGGCACCTGCTCAAAGAGGCTTTTGGGCTGGATCCAGTCCAGGTGCGAGACAACATTTTTGTTCGGAAAGCCTGAAATCGACCCCTACCGAACAAACCAGCGAAATCCCGGGCAACCTGAAAAACCGCTTGCAGGAGAGCTGTCAGCCGCAAGCAGTAAGGCATCCTGGATCGTTCCACCCCGTGTCTAGTCAAACCATGCAACACCTGCCTTCCGAAGCAGCTCCTTCGCCATGTCGATCATCTCAGCACCAAGCTTCTCGCCTTGGCCAAGCACTCTGCAGGATTTCCCGGTGAATGGGGGTGGGCTTGGAGCAGCCATTTCATAGTATAGAAAATGGCTTGGATGGAGCCTCTCCAAGTGAAGCTTCTTTGCAAAAAAAAAGTCTATGTCCCTGAATTCGACGGGGCACTTGTTGTTGCTTTTTAGGGAAAATACCTGACTAATCCAGATGAACCAAACTGTCTTTGTGGTCAAGCGCTACCCATATCATACTATCTGGCAATGGACAACATGCGCCCGGCCAGAAATAAGCTCCTTTGGATGACAAGTCCCAGCACGGACACCCAATGTGTAAGACAAATACGTGAGCATGGCACCCCCACAAGATGCCACACTAACCAAACTTCATGCCTACAAAATAGCCTTCAACCCCTCAACCTTGCGCAAAGAAAACACGAGACATGTAGCCTCTACACAACGCGTGCACTTTCCAGAGCCGCACCTTGTACCGAAAAGAGGGGCAACACTTCCCACAACATGGGCTTGCTCCAATTTGGGGGCGACCAAAAGGATCCTTCATTTCAACGTCTTGGGCCCAAAGCCAGCTTCCGGCGCCCAGCGCCTTTGTGGCGCCCAGAATCGGCGGCCGAGCGGCCGTCGAAGTCGGGGCCCGGCGCTCCGTGGGGCCCCTTGGGCCCCTTGGGCCCCACGTCCCCCAGGGGCCCGTGGACCCCCGGCGGTCCCGCGGGCCCCGGGGGCCCCCGGCGCATGGCGCCTGGCGGGCCTTTGGGCCCCGCGGGCCCCTGGTTTCCGGTGAAGCCCTGGGGCCCGGTGGGGCCCTTCCTGCCCGGCGGGCCCCGGTAGAGCCTCAGGTCCTTGGGCAAACCTCACTTGAGCTCTGGAAATGAAAGAAGTTCACCTTTTGGAAGCTCTACCAAAAATGGAGAAGCCGAAAAGGGGACAAGAAAAAAGAGGAAAAGAAAACGTCAAAAGGTCGATTCGCTTACTGAGAAGCTCGTCCGCGGCCCCTTCCAGTCGTGCATGCCCAAAGGCAGAGTGGCCGGAGGACCGGGAGGCCCGCTCTTATCCAAGGATTCGTCCCACTGCGCCAGGGATGCCGTCGGCGCCATCGGCGTGCCGTGGGTGCTGCCATCCGCGGCCACCTTCACCTGCTGCTTCTCCGCTGACACGGTGGTTGCGAAGGCACCCTGGAGCACCTGGCAGGCGGAAAGCAGCTTCAGCCGCAAGAGGTAAATACCTTTGACCATAGGTGTCCCCAAGAAGAAATAGATGGCGCTGGTGGATGATTAAACCACCAGGATTTAACGGGGCCATCTATTTTTCTACCAAAAGAACTAAAAAGGACACCTATGCCTTTGACAACCATCCAGCCCAGGCGCAAGAACGGCCAGCACATGGATTGGTAACATGGACATGGGTCGACTTTCACAGCCTTAGACCTGCAGCGCAGGGATTGAAAGGACTCTGAAAGGATCCTGTGCTGGGACTGCACAGGATTTTCTTAGAGACCTTCTTGAACCAAAAAGGTTTGGCTGCAAGGCACGTCATCCTGACAATCAAGAGCATGTCATGGTGCAAGCATCTTCTCATCCCTCGCCCAGGCACGCATTGGCATCCTGTGGCATGCCTTTGCAGGAAGAGACTCATGTGGCGGGTCATGCCTCCCCTCCCCCAGCAAGCAAACATAAAATGCGCGCGGTCACCGACGTCACTGCGGAATCAAAGGCATGTCTGACATACCGAGGCTCCTGCCATTCAGAAGCGGGTGCAAGCTGGGCTCCAAGTCCTGTGCAAGATGGAGATCTCTGGCTTAGACTGAATCTGCGACATCATAGAGGAGGCAGCCCATGCCCAGCTGGAAAAGGAAGCTGTCACTGCACAGTCAACCTCTGGAAGGCATGTGTCAAGCAAGGAAAGCCTCCACTGCACGTGACTGTTTCGGCTCGGCAGCTGCACGAGGGCAAATTCCGGCGCGAAGGTGCGCAAACACTTGGCAACCTGCAGCTGTCACTTGCTGGAACGGGATTCAATTGCAATTCAACTGGTTTTGTGCAAGTTGGCGGCTGAGGGCAAAAACTTAAGGCACACTCACTCATGAGCTGCGCTGGCAAAATTGCGCGCCGACCGCATGAACTAGCCACAGGCCTTGTTCTTCATACGCTGTGCTTTGAGGCAAATGCTGACAAATGCTGAACATTGAGCCTGGCAACGCTTTGTAAAGCAGATAGCCGCTTGCTCAGCAAGGGCACTGCCAATAGGCATGCAAATGCAACAGGCTGGCCGCTCACTCGGTTTTACTCACACAGGCACACCTGCGCCGAAACAGTCAGCACGACCGACATTCAATGTCTTTAGGCAATGCTAGCTTGACCAGGGCTTGCCTGTTCCACTGAAATGACCGGCCTCCCTTGAAAAGGGTTTCTACACTACCGGCGGAGCTGGGTATTTCTCCCACAAACAGTGGTTTTGAAAGGCAAACCATGAGCTTGACCAGGTCGCCCGCCAGCATTCTCGAAGTCTGCGGATGTCGCAGGCCATGCGCGCGTTGCATCACGTCTTCCTGCCCAGGAAAGGCTCGGCGCAACGGATCTCAACTCTCAAGCGTCCTGAAGCCATCGGTTCACCGGTGGAAAAACACGCGTTCGCAACCACCCAAAGCCAAAGCCTATAGCCGTCTGCGGCTGGCCATGCCTGATGGACCCGGTGGGGCGCCTGGTCATGAGCTCGCCTCAGCAATTCTCCAAGCTCGGCGCTCAATTGAAGCAGCAAGGAGCGAAGCCGCTCTCAGGTGACGCGGATGTGATGGCAGCCCAGCCCAAGCCAAACTCCCAAGATCCCGGCTCCATGCCTCACTGATCTCATCCGGCCAGTCCTCAGCTGAGACTTCAGCGGACAGCCCATCGACATCGGCTTCCTTCCCATCCAACATGGCCATGCCACGCTAGGCCAACGCCAGGATTGAGATTTCAGTGACTCGGGAAAACTGGCCCCTGTTTCCCCAGGTACGTCGATAGTAAGTAGGTTGTAAGCTATAAAGCTATAACCAAGTTGCTGGGTAACCAGAAAAAAAACATTGAAAAAACTAGAGGCGAAAATATCTGTCTGCCTTCCATCGCTTGCCCGCTGCAGTCCTTGTCCTCTCGGAGGGTCTCTTGCGCACGCCTCAAAATCATCGGATTGCACTCGGCAGCGGCATCCCCCCTATCTTAAGGGGGAGGGTGGGGGAAAAGTCCCACAATTCTATGTATTCAGTCTTCCCCACAGGGAGAATGGAGCCCTGCATGGAGATCTCCGCCCTCAGATCTGCTGGAAGCTCAGCGCCGCGCTCCAGAGCCATGTGCACGTGCTCCGCCTGGAGCCTGAGGCACACCCCACTCGCTCCCTCGTGAAACGCGCGCGCATATCATGCCCACGGACATATGGCTGTGGGTCAAAAACATGGAGCCCAAAATGGCACCTTGGTCACCTTGGTCACCTTGGTAAATGGAACCAGCGACTATAACCTACCCTGGCTCTTTAATTTTTGACCCACAGTCCTTTGTGTTTAGATGATATATTTTGATGATGATGCTCTGAGTGCCGCACAAATCTGACCACTCCGCGACATCCTCAGCCAAAAGGAATGAATGTACTCAGCTTGGCTGTGCACGGCTGAGGAAAATGCACACTGGTCACCATGTCATCTTTCGCATCTTTGCAGCTCCTGGCCCTCAACAACTTGTCTGAAGCATTTCCTGGCTCGGGTTCCCGGCCAGGTCATCCAGAAGCTTCAAGAACTCAATGGAATAGTGCCTGCAAAAGCTCCAAGGCCTGAGTCGACAGCATGAAACCTTCGAGCCAAACTGTCCCAGGCCCAAAAGCAACGCAGGAAGCATGGAGGATCGAAGACTTGCTAAGCGCTCGCGCTTGCCTGAGGCCTGAGCCACACATGCCCCTGCATCACGTTGGCAAACTTGTCCGGCTTCACATGGCAAAGCCTTGGTTCAATAGAAACAGCCCTACCTGTTCACCAATGCAGGCACGTATGCACATGCAAAGCGCTGGCTAGGCAAGGGTCTCACCCGCACTCGTTGTCGTGAGCCTTGGTCACACAAGCACCTGAAAAGGCGGAGATGTTACATGTTCAACAGCCCTGTGCCACTCTTCAGGAGTGCCCTCAAACACTTCACACGGAAGTCTCACTGTTGCCTCCTCAGGAGAAAAACTTGGGCCGCCCTGCGTTCCGAGGTGATGCCAGTCTGTCCACAAGCAAGCCTCCACCAACCACTGGTAGGCACCTTGGGCAGCATTAGCATGCCTAGAAAGCACACAACCTGCAACCCTTTGCCATGGACGAAGCCTTGTCAGCAGCCAGCTGGCCAGCTGGCAACGGCAAAGTGGCAAGGCCCGGACTGAGCTCGATCTGCCTCAGTCGACGAATTCTTGCTCAACCCCCTTTTGATGCAACATGCATTGCGACCGTCGCAAGCAGGCAATGCCAAAGACAGCCCCCAAGCAAGCAGTGAAACGAAGAAGCCATCACTGCTTCTTTGTTTGGATCGTCTATGCCTCTTGAAGCACAAGTTTCTGACAATTAAGATCTTGTCTTGCTTGCAAAGAACCACGGCTTGAGGGCCACACTCAGCGCCTCTGCCCCGCCTCAGCGAGTCTGGCTGGGCGGCATGTGTCACCGCACCGAGGTTTTCAAAATCGCATTCTGAGTCAAACTGAGGCGTCGGACTCATAGAGGAAGGTTCCGGAGTGCACAAATGTCATACACGACGCGTTTTCGCCCAGGCAGAACAGCACGTCCTGCACGAGTTTGGTCGGCGAAGAGATCAGTAAAAAACAAATAACGCTTGCAACTGTCAGTTCCCAATATGGCATCCTGGTCCGCCATGGCTGACTCGGACACAGCATCTCTTGTAAGCCTGACAGAAAGAGTCTGCACCCGCTCATACTGGCAAGAAAAGCAGGGCTGGAATGATCCTTGCGTGACTGATCAAGAGGCGCTGGCTGATACACTAGGACCACCCTGCCTCATCATCATGGGCTCGATGCATTGCTGCAGGATGTAGAAGAGTTGGTGTCGGGTCAATAGCCTGTTGCACCAGAATGTCTGGGCTGTCAACTTTTCGATCTGCAAAGAACTCAGAACTAGGCAAAGCACCCCCTTCCAGGGACAAACGACAGGTGGCACATGCTACTGTGAATGAAAATCACCTCTGTTTTCTGACACTGAAACGACCACAAACAACTTTTTTGGCAACTCGCAAAATACGCGAAATCAGGATTTCTCAGTGCTGACCCTGGTGCAAACTACTTGCGGCTCATACGAGCCGTGGCCAGATTTCTGGCGTCACGTTACCCTTTCCGACTACCAATTCTAACTCTGCCACAAAATGAAAACAAACCCAGGACAGCCCCAGCACCCCCCCCCCCGCCCCACATCGAACGAGCGTCTACGCTTCAACTCTGCCCAACCGAGCAGAACGAGAACGAGAGCACAAATACAATGGGCTGGTTGGCCTGCGGGGCCCGATTTCCCCATTATCCCAACTTCCACTTTTGCCCAAGCAGGGCTAAACAAAAAAAATGATCCCCACCCCCCTCCGGGGGAACACCGAACCTCGAAAATGGAAACGATGAGTGTGGAATACAACGATGCAACAGCTGAGGGAGCAGAACGATGCATTGACTGAGTGCACGATTGCGGAAAGAAGGGATACTGCCAAGGTTAGAAGATGGAATGAATTTCATATTGTCAATTGCTGCACAAGATGGGACCATGAAGAAATTCCCGGAACACTCACTCACTCACTCACTCACTCACTCACTCACTCACTCACTCACTCACTCACTCACTCACTCACTCACTCACTCACTCACTCACTCACTCACTCACTCACTCACTCACTCACTCACTCACTCACTCACTCACTCACTCACTCACTCACTCACTCACTCACTCACTCACTCACTCACTCACTCACTGCTCGCTCGCTCACTCACTCACTAACTAGAATACCCGCGCCCAGGCCGTCGCCTTTGATGCAGCTCCCAAGCAAGCAGGTTCTTCAAGGGCTCGGAGAGGAGTGGCAAAATCCTTGGGGCCCAAGGGGACTGCAAATAGCTGATCTACATGGTGGGTCAAAAACCGTTAAACGGGATCCCATTTTGGGATTGGTGAATTCACCACCCATTTTAGAACCTATATTTTAGTGGTTGGATTGGGATGTTCACTAGGGGTACGATTTGGATTTTGACCCATGGCCACATGATGTGACTGGTGAACATGGTTTTTGACGTGTTCAGCTGCTCGAGTCAGCGCATTATGATTAGAAAGGAGAGGCTCGGGGCAAATTGAGCCAATACGAAATCTGGCTTCCTGCGTCGAAGGTACCAGCAAGAAGTCTGACATCCTATCCGGACAAAAGAGTCAAGTACCCAGCTTCAATGCTGCCGGTCCACCAGCCAACTCAAACCAACGAACCAGCCCACCAACCCAATGCAACCCGATGCTGCCCCGTGGAAAATATGCAGGTGGCCAACTTCCAACCATACTATTGAGTGAAGCTCAAACACGCACACACACACACGGAAAACATGTGCAGCCCCCTTCGGCCGGTTCTACCAGACCAAGCCGGTCGCCCTGCGCACGACACCAAAGGTTTGCCACATGACAGATCTTCACTGAGGGCGTGTCCGCACGTCCTTCTGCTGTACGCGCTTCCTGCTGCATCGTGAAAGACTTTGCGCAGGGCACGTTAATGTATGCTTTGGCCATGATCTGCGAGGAGAAACTTGCGGAACTGCAAAATGCTGCCCTATATTTTTCCGGGCAGCACACCGCCATCTTTTAGAGGGCAATTTGGGGGTGTTAAAACCGCCAACCCGAGGGAATCCAATGCCCGCCTCTCCCGGGTCACCCGCTGCTCCAGGAAGCGGAGGATCCGGCCGCGGCTCTCCGCGGGCACCTCGTAAAAGACCCAGCTCTGCGAGGTGGCTGTGGTCAAAACCGTTCAAAAAGGGATCCCATTTTGGTGGGGATTGGTGAATTCACCACCCGTTTTAGAACCTATTCTAGTGGTTGGATTGGGTCCAAAAGTTCACTAGGGGATAACCGGGCTTTTGACCCATGGCCATGTTGCACAAGGAAGGTACGACTGCAAGTGAGATGCGCAGACTTTGGTCGTGTCGGATCGAAATACGGTGGAAAGTTGCAAAATCCATTTCGCACCACCTAAGAAACCATGGTTGAAGCCACAGTTTGTTGGTATTTACAGCGGAATCGAATCACTTCCTTGGGTTTCTGAACGGTGGTGCGATTTCTGGATTTCGCAACCAAGAAACCCTGGAATGCTGACCCCCCTGTAAGTACCAACAAACTTGTTGGTTTCCGCATGGCTTCAAAGTGGTGCGAACGGATCTTGTCCATCCGCCCGCATCTCCAAGGAAGGGCCAGTCTGACCGCTCGCGGCTCTCAGCTCGAGCCACCCAAACCCGCGCCTGGCGGGTCTTCAGCAAGCGCCGCAGCAGCCAGAATTGCTTCTTGGCGTGGCCCTACGGAGGCGGAAAAACCACTCCCCCCTACCATAACGGGGAAGGGGGTGGGGGGTCGCCCAATTCCAGTTGTCTTCCTCATAAAAGGGAAGATGGAACTACAAACAGAATCTCAGGGGTCACCCCCTTGTCCAATGACATTTTCAAGCGGGTGGGGAGGCGGAGAAGAAAAAACAACACGCTCCCCACACGTCCGAAGAACAAAAATCACCACGCCTCGCCTGAAGGCCCTGCAGCGACATCATGGAGGCGGTGACCTGCCCAATGACAGAGGAGAAGACCATCAATGCGAAGAAGAGCACCAAAATCGAAAATGCCTCGGGCGGCATTTTCCACGCTGAGGCTGGCATTTTTTGCACGCATGCAAAGGCGTGGAATCCCATCGATGAACCTACACAATCCCCCAAAAAATACCTCTGGGCGTTCAAAGGAAACCGACTGGAATGAGTCTGAAAAGCTTCAGGTCAGCTCTTCCGCGATTTGCGCTGGGACTGGGAAATTTGGCCACTGGGGTCTTGTGAAACTCTGGCCACGTTGCACGCTCGCCCGAGTTCCGCGCCTCGGGAGTTGGACCAAAAAATGATGCGAGAGTGGGAGATGCGGGAGTGAATCTGACTGCTGCAAATCCAACTTCCAAACTGCAAAAGTTCTTCCAAGGATCTGCCCCTCTTAAGAAGTTGTTGTTCTCTGTTTCTGGATGGTTTTGACCTCATGTTCTGGATGGCTGTGATGCATCCCAGCCAAACAAGGGCCCTAACAAGCGCCCTTGTAAATTGTAAAGCCAAGGCACGGTGACTTCCATGGATGCTGGCGTGAACTGGGTGAGGCTCCAGTGCAAAGATGTTGTGTAACGATAAGCCAAGCTGGTGTCGACGATGGGAATAGCACCTGAGGCCGCCAAGCCCAAGCAAAGGTCATCCTTGACTCATCGAACAGCAAGCTCCCGCCTGAGGTCAGCCAGCTGTCACCATCCAAGGCAGATGTACCCACCAGGTACCACAGACAGGCAATGCAATGGTTCCTGGCGCTGAAACCAGTGCCACGCCAAGGGATCCCCAAGGCGAAGCAACAAAGGCCCTCTGTGTCCAATGCTGCCGAGTCGCAGGACAAGGATGCCGAACATCAGCCTCACGCACGTGAATATGATGAACCTAAGCCACAGGAATTCAGAAAGGCACTAGGTTGCGCGGGCTTTCGAATCTGCAACTGCAGGCCACTGCATTACAATTCTTCCAAACACATGGGAATTTACTGAGCGAGAAACAGCAAAGCCAACGGCCAATGCAAGCCAAGACTACCCTGGACCTGCACCCCATGTCCCAAAAAGCCTGCAGCCAAGGGCATTCCTATTCTCAGGCCTTGGCGTGATCTCACTGTCGATCAAATCATAAACCTCAGAGGCCGTGCATTTGAACCTTGCACAAGGCAATTCACCTGCGGGACCTGCGAGTGAAAGATCCGGACAGCAAAATAGGCCCCAGGGGCCCAAAGATCCCCAAGATCTCCGCTCACGTTATGCGTCTTGACGGAAGATGCTTCTGCCGAAGCGACTGAGGATATCCCCGGTGAACCGCATCTGATCATTCGCGGTACATCGCGGATAGAAATCTTGACTCTCCGGCAAACGTCGGTCCGCTGACGTCAGCTCTGAGATCCAACCAGTGGCCTGCATGACCGTGACTTCCAGAGCCGCGAGCAAGTGTGCACCGTTAAGCCCTCGACAAGGCCTTCTTCAGGGCTTAGGGGCTTGTTTCAGCCCCCCCAAGTCCCCAAGTCCCCAAGTCCCCTCCCCCCATGAGGGCAGTTTGGGTAATTCACCCAAACGCATCCAGCACAAGAAAAACAAGAAGAAGAATAAGAAGAAAAAAAAACGCCCACTCCCAGCCCCGCTGGCCCTCTCCGCCGCTCATGCCGAGGCCCGTGCCATGGCCAGTAGCCGCTGCAGCTTCAGCACCCGCAGCAGCCGAAGTGTCCGCAGGTACCGCAGGGAGCGCAGCACCTGGACCGCCTCACCTGGCTGGCGGCTTCGGAAGTTCGGGTGGGAGATGTCTGGTCCACAGGCATGACTCTTTTGTTTGTCACCTGGCTGTGGTGGTGAAAAATAGGGTAACCCCAACATGGCTTGCCCCAAGGATGATTTAACCTGCGGTCCGATTCCTGGTGGTTCAAAACTTTGACCCATACCCACCTCGCCGCTGGCGCAGAAGAAAAAATGTGTGTTGCAGCTCCGGCGCTTCATTCGGGCCGGAAATGTCTGGTGAACAGGCAGGACATTTGTTGTTTGCAGGTCCCGCCGGAAAAGCTTTTTAAGCTTTTCTGAGGGCCAGGAAAGATGGTCCGCATGGAGCAGGGACTGGAAATGAATGAAAATGTTGACCGGAGGTTGCATCCCTGACCTGTCACATGCTTCTCGGCCTGAGTCGGCAAAGCGCCCCATCTGGCTGAGCCAGTCCGGCACCTCGGAGAGGCCAACCCTCCGCTGGGCTGAGTAAGTGGGATTATTATTTTTTTGCCCAGCGGCAGTGACCAGGAGGTCCAGGAGAAACCTAGCAAAGGCTCTTTGCTTTTCAGCCAAGGCAACATGGCTGTGGGTCAAAACCAATGGGATCCCATGTTGGGGTGGGTGCACCACCCATTTTAGAACCTATTTTAGTGGGGATTGTGGGGTTCACTGGGGGATAACCGGGATTTTGACCCATGGCCATATTGATGCGATCGTGGCTTATACCAATTGCAACATGGTGACGCTGACCTTCTACCAAGAGTTAGTTTTTGTTGCTGCCACCACTCACTTCAAGATGAGATAACCATTTGTTGAATGAACTACCAGGAGGACCAGGCGAACAAGCACCCAGAAGGTTCTACGCCGGGAAATCCCGACACCTTCCAAAAGTGTGGAAAGTGTGTCAGTTTACTTGAGCCAAGCAGCCATGTCTGCAGGTAGTTGACAGTGATCTTACCTGGGCAATTGGTTGCCCGGCACCCAAAAGTCTTTAACTCAACTCCGGGTCACGATGGGAAGTTACCAGCTCGCCGTTCTGATAGCAGGCCGTCCTGGAAGGCAGCCATTTGGCCACTGCCCCGTGAGCTCGTCTCAAGCGCTAGCTTCCCATCATGCCAAGGTGAGATTTTAAGCACGCGCCCCTTTAGTCAACGTCAGCCCGTGGGTTGTTTTGAGCCTGGGGCACCCGACAGGTTGCTCATGAAGATATCCAGCGTCCAAAAGATCATGGTCCACCACGCCGCGACCGCCGTGAACTCGGCAACTCGAAGCCGCGAAAGCCAGGGCCGAGCATGCTGCGCACACAGTTTGCCAGGCAGACATGGCAAGACACGTCCTCACGAGGCAAGCGCCCCACAAAAGCCGGCAAAAAAAAATGTGTGGCAAAATCTGGAACCTCCCGCCGGCCAGCCCATCCGACGGATCCGACGGCTGAGGCCGCAACAAGTGTCTCAGGAGGGCTCAGGGCCCCGAAAGGGATGTAGAAGAGGTCATAGGCTGAGCGACGCAATGCCGCCAGGGTGTCAGCTTGCATTTGTTCTCTTTCTGTTTTTTCGGTTGCTTCCAATCTTTCCTTTAGAAAGGCCCCTGCTGGACTTGAGTATGGACGTTTAGTTTGCCTCCCTTTGTTCATGTTCTTTTCCCTCGCAAACATGGATGTGCCTGAGCAATCCTGTTGCGCTGCCCTCAACTGACTAGCGCTGTCTGCAAGGCATCTAGGACAGGCGCACAGGCAAAGCAAAGCTGACACATCCTCAGCGGTGGCAACTCAGATCAAATACGAAAGCAGCAATACGCAGCACCGCCAGATCACAACTGCAACCTAAATCGCAGAGAACCCTGGCACAGGCCACCCAAACAAGCCATGCACACTGAGGCCGCAGCCCACAAGATCCGCACATTTCCGTTTGGGTGCAGCGGCAGCCATTCTGGCCGGCTGATTGGGAGCCTCCTGCAGTGAAGCTGCCGACTTGTGCAAACCTAGCACCACATTCAACACAATGAGCGACGCTCTTTCAATAGCAGTGTCTGCGGGTATGAAAATGCAACTGGCTGCTTGCTGCGAAAAGCAAGTCAAACGATATTGATTGGAAGATTTTGCGGAGTTCAGCGGCACCTAAAGACCTAATCAGTCTGTGCTCCGCAGCCCGCTCCTGAAGATGGAGGGTCTATCTTGCATGCGGCCACGGCCCTGGCTAGGCCGAATGAAGCTGTGACTCAATGGCTGCCTTGCAGCCAGTGTCAAGAGGTGACTCGCTCACAGTGGCCCTAGGCTGCCCTGCACGCCTTTGGTCGGCGTTGATTCACCTAAGCCCGCTGAATCGATACCGATGTCAATTGTGAGGCTGACATCATGACGGGGGCCCACATGATCCCTCGTAAGTATGGACCAGCTAAGTCACAGAATACTGCAGGTCGTCGATGAATCCCGGTGCATTGGACCTAAGCTCAGCTCAACGGCACTTGTGCCAGCTCAAAACTGCCTCGCAGCTTCCCCCAGGCTGTTGCTCTGACCTGCATTGACTTGCAACTGGGCCAGCGGCGTATTTGGAACACCTGAGCGTTCTGTCTCCATGGCAGCGCGACAGGCTGTGCAACGAGGCACGCGCCCCAACGCTCGTTCAAGTGCAGCGTGGGACGTCGATCTGATTTTCCTGGCCGGAGGGGCAGTACAGGAAAACGGCAAAATGGGGGGGGTTGATCAATACTCCTCCTGGCTTGCAAATGACCATGGGTAACTTTTCCCGTTTGGGGGAAGTCATCTTGGTGGTTTCCCTGGTGATCCCAAGCCCCATGCGGAAGTGCACTCTCCAAGGAACCTGTGTTGTCGCCCGTGTCGGTGAGAAAGCTTAGCTGCTCGAGCAAGCTAGGGCCTGGCCGAGGCAATAACAAGCAAGCAGCACACGATCACGAACAAACCTCCCTTCGTCTTCTGGAAAACAAAGGAGGGCCCTCACATCCTTCTCCGGAAATTTATTCGATCGGCCAGTTGCCTCGACTCTCGTCCAGGTTGTCCATGGAGCATCCGCGGCTTTTTCCTCGTGCGAAGGTGAAACACAACTTCAAACGGCTGTGGGTCAAAACCAAAGGGATCTCATTTTGGGATAGGTGCGCCACCCATGTTAGAACCTGTTCTAGTGGGGATTGGGTCCCATTCACTTGGGCTACGATTTGGGTTTGGACCCCTGGCCAATCTGCGCGTTCAACCTGCCGGCGTTTGTTCGAGTTCTGATCCGCAGCCGTGGCGCCAGGGCAAGTCTCCGGCCTGGGCCATGAGACAAGGAGGGGCAAACCGCAGGTCTTGGTCCATGTTTCCACTGGCCAGGGCAACCCATGTTGGAATTCCGGTTTTTTGAGCCACAGCCACATGGAAAAACCCACCGAAAGTGCCAACACAGCCCCGGCTTCATGGCCCCGTGTACCTTGTGACATTGTGGACCAGACCCCTGCAAAAAGCCTGGCAGGCGAGCGCCCAGCGGCCCAGCAATCGCTTGGGGTGGCAGGCGAGCCCCCAGCGATCGCTCGGGGCCCAGACCTGCGCTCCTCCAGCCGAAGGCGCAGCAGCCTGCACTTCAGTCATGATCAAAACCCGGTACAAAAATGATCGCAATCCCAGAACCATGCTTCAAGAACTAAGAAGGAACTAAGAAGGCGGATATCCGCGCCTATGTATGGTTGGGATTATCCGATATCCCTTACTAACCTTCATCTTGGGCACGTGGCTCACTTGGCATCTCCGTCTCTGTCGCCCCCCCCACACACTCCACACCCCATACGTCAAGGCAAACCTGCCGGGATGAGCCTCTCTCAACGAACCCATCGGGAGCAACACCAAGCCAGCGAGAAACAAAGCTGGCTGCAGGTCCAGGGCCCAAGAAATGATTTTGTGAGTTTCACTGCGCTCTGCTTTTTCAAGCGCCTTGCCTATTTTCCTTCAACAAATGCTCGTTCTGCTGTCGGAGCTGTGCGAGCTCACCTGAAGGGCCAAGAGTGGCGGCGAGTGGCGTCCAGTAGTGTCGAATGGCTGTGGCCAAACGGCGTTTTGGCAAATGGAACCAAAGACTAAACCTGCGTAACCCTAGCTCACGCACGAAAAAATGCTCAAAGCACCTGGTTGGCAAACTCGCGGACAGCAAGGAGAAAGCGCGACGGCTGACATACCCATGCAACAAAACGAACAAGCCTCTCACGTGCCTTCATGAGCATCCAAGAGCCGCGCAAGGCGGCCTGGCATCACCTGGCAGCTGCGTTGCTCTTATTTGCTGTCCTCTCCTCATTGCAGCTTGGCCAGTGGCCCCCCTCTACTTTCCAACACGCATAGGCAAGCAACAACTGGCTGCCTGGCTTCCTCCACATTGTTCAGAAACGCCACCCCTCGCACCCGATATCAGCATATCATTGTGCCTGTGAGGCTGCGCATTCCCCGTGGTGATTGAGCCCGAACTGGCTGCAGGCGGACGGATTGCTCAATTGTGCCACTTACAGGGCTTGCTGCTTGGCTCACACGGCTAAACACCCGGGCAAAGTCTTGAACTCTCTCATCCTGCATGATGGACTTTATGTGGTCCAGCTTCTTCCCCTCGTACCTGACCATGGTCAGGGGGCCCACTCGTGAGGAATCCAAGCGGCAATGCTCCGCACTCAGCCCCCCTGCAACTCAATCGCAAGCACCTCCAAAAACGGTGGTCGGCGTCAACCGCACTTTTGTTCTCGGAGAGCATCCACCTTAGCTGTTCTGCTCTCACGCATTGCTTCTTTCTACCTTTGCTTCTGAAAGCACCAGGCAAGCGAATATCTCTGAAAGCAATACTATGCAGCAAGCCCTCCATCCCCCCTTGATGGAAAGTCCTCAACAATCAAACTGCAGTTCAGCACTGCAAGTGCCAGGCTCATCTTGCGGCATGCTTTGCAACATCTGAAGCGTCTCCTCAGGGATGCAAGGATTCACGTCCGGGGCTTACACCCTGATCGCCTCTTTGCCTGATTTCAAAGTTGGATCGCACCGGTTAGGCTTCTGGCAACGCAACCGCATGGGCATGGGTCAAAATTAAACCACCAGGAATTGGACCGCAGGTTGTAGTTGGTTCAATCTACCAGGCTCCATTTTGATTTTTCCCTATGTTTTGACCACCGCCTGGGACGCTTTGCTTCGAGCAAACCCGGCTCCTCCGCCAGCTCCGACGGCAAGAAGTCCTTCACCTGGACGAGGCCGCCCGCCTGAGCCCCGAGCGCTCCGACCCAGTGGGGGTTCCCAAGACGAAGCTCCCGAAACGAGAGGGCGAATTCCCTTGTGTCACAGTGGGGAGGGAAAAAAAAGAAGAAAAGAAAACCGAGCCATCCAACAGAACCCTGACCAAGAGAGAGAGAAACGCATGGCGAACAAGAAGCTGCAGATCCGAACGGGTTTCGCGGACATCCGCGCCTCTTCCAGAAATCTGCGCCTTGGAACTGCGTCCAGTTTTTGACGGCTTCAAGTTGAAATATTTCGCCGAGGCGCAGCCCTTTGGCCGCCACTTGGCTGCGAAAGTCTGGGCCGTGTAGCCGAGGCCTCGGGCGGACCGGCGCCCGAAGCGGAGAACCGATGCTTTCGGCGCTTCCGAAAATGTCCGCCGCCGGAAGCCACGTGGCGCGCGGCAAAAAAAACCTCGATCTGCCTGTTACACAGTGCGCCCCATCAAGCGCCTCGTTGCCTCGTCCACCGCTTCTGGAGCATCGGCCAGAAAAAAAAACGGCCCCAAAATCGCCCACCCCCTCAAGAGCTCCCAACCAGGCAGCGCGGACTCGGCCTGGAACCTTAGCTTGCAGCTTCAACCCACGGCTCCACACAGGGCTTTTTGCATGAAACAAACTAAAAACCACCAGGAATCGGGCCGGTTAAATCGTCCATGGTTCCACTTACCAAGGTTCAATTTTGCCTATTTTTGACCCACAGCCAAGTGTCAAAGACAAGAAATGGCAAGCCAAGGGCAATCCATGGAATTCGACCTCGTGATTCTGATTTCGAGCCTTTCCAAGCAGGCCCCTCTGTCTTTCAACGGCACCAAAGGGAACGCAGCTGCAGTTGTAGCGCCCATGTTTCTCGCTCCAAAGCCAGCCGTTTCGATTCACGTCCTCCTGGATGCAAGACACCAGGCTATTGTACGACCTGAGAACTCGACATGGAAAGCATGCGAGGCAGAAACCAGATTGGATGGCAAGCAGCTTGACGCAAGTAGAGTAATACTGTGGATGGACGAAACTTTGCACCACCTCAGAGACCCTGGAAGGATGATTCCCCCGCAAATACCAACAAACAATGCTTTCCCATGGTTTCCAAGTGGTGCGAAATGGATTTTGTCCATCCACAGTATTTGTCTTACTTCGCCTGGTGCCATGAGCCAGCCGCTCATTCAAGAGCTTCCAGAATGCCCTCGTCTGAGCACCCGGCCACACAGGCGGCGCCTGAATCCTGGCGACTGCGGCAAAATGGCCAGGAAGGCTCACTCGCCAATGTGTTGTCTGCATAGGTGCCCTTTTGCAAAAAAGAAGAAGGGTTTCCCAGGTAAATGGAACAAAACCCGTCTAAACCAGTGCCATCTATTCTTAACCAGGCTCACCTAAGAAGGACACCTATGCCTATGGCTGTCTAAAAACGATGCCTGCTCAGCCAACATTGCACGAATCACACTGCGGCAGCCTTTCGGCATAGTCTCGCATAGCAGCAAGGACTTCCACATCCGAGGCGTCCTGCCAAACATGGGACATCCGAAGGATCGCATGCAAGGTATTTGTACCACTGAAGATTCATCGTCCATTTGTCGCGGCAACGGAACCGTGCATCGCGCAGTCCTTGCTGATGAGGCCCTTCGACGTGAAATTGATGCGAAGCCTCATGCCGGCACCGAAATCTGCAAGTTGCAAATGCACGAGTTGCAAGGCAGCTGTGTTGCCCTTTGCCTTGCCGCGTAGGAATGATGGTCTAAACTAGGCCGGCTTAAAAATCAAAGGGGCCCAGCACATGTGACCACTTCCTCGCCACTCACCCCATTCGCCCCGCATGGCCCTGGCAAGTTGTCGCTCGGCGCGCTCCGCCAGCCGCCGTAAATCTTCTGGCACCTGGCGAGGACCGAGGCCTACGGAACCGTCGGAACCACGTGTCGCCCAGTCCCTTCCCCAAGTGATGTTGTGCTGTCATTGAGGGATGGGCTTGATCAATATTGGCCCCCAAATGCCCATGGCTGAATATTCTTTAAATGTGGTTGAAGTATCAGAGTATCAAATATGTGTCGTGGTTTCCAACCAAATGGTCATCCTACGTTGACTGGACCTTTTGATCAACCTCGAACAGCAAAGGACCTGAATCTGAGGCTACTGCAGAAGTGCAGAGCGCAGCCGCTGCAGGCGCTCCCGCGTTGTGCCTGGCCAAAAAGTTTGCAGCCGAGAAAAGTCGATCCAAACAAAGCGGCTAAGCAGCGTACTGCAAATTAGAGCCCCAAAAAGGAAAAATTATACAGCCATTTTTTCTCTCGCTCTCTCTCTCTCTCTCTCTCTCTCCCTTTCTCTCTCTCTCTCTCTCTCTCTCGCTCTCTTTTTCTCGCCCTCTTTCGCAGCAGTCTTCACTGCAAAAACATCCTGGCCCTCATCAAAGAAAACGCTGGTGCCCCAGCTCACGCCCATGTGTTCCTCGACGCTGTCTTCTGCTCCGTGACAAACGATTGTTTGCAGAATCATGCGTGCCATCAGCTGCACGCCTCCTCAGCTACTTGGACTTGGCCAACTTGCAAAGCCCCTGCGCCCAACAGCCTCGCCACGTCTTGGGCTCAAGGACGTTAAAGATGAGCTTGGCAACTTTGGCGCCAAATGAAGTCAAACCTTTCGCCAGACCTCCGGTCACCGTCTGGGTGTCTCGTCCTGTGAAGATACCATGAGAGCATCGTGCACGTCGGGCATGTCCTCGACATGCCTCGGTCCGTGCCTGCTACCCCAAAGCGTGCCAACCTGTCTGATCAGTGGGTCGTACGTCAAGGCATGCCAAGAAGCAGCGATGCCACCACAACGTCATCGGCACCTTGGCTGATGATACCAACAGCTGTCAAAATGCTGACCCAACCCTAACTGCGGTTGAAGTCAATCAACATACCTCGTGATTAAGCAATGCATAAGTTGGAAATCAGCTGCTGACACAGCAAGCCAAGTGGGGTTTGCCGATGGACATCTAGCACATCCATGGCCCAAATGGCGCTGATTCTTCCACTGATTCAGGACGTGTTTCTTGCAAGCACATCTCATGGAGCAATATGACTGGCCCCATTATTTTACCAATATCAAAATCATCCCCTAAGTGGTGGGTTAAAGGGAAACCACCCCAGTGTCTGACTTTGATAACCCCTAGAAACAGAACCAAAAACATGACACCGGCAGCTTGGTACATTGCTGGCGTGATGTGTCCATCTCCCTTGCATGAGCTGCAAGATCTCCCAAAAAAAGAACCCCAGTGTGAGTCGATTGGCCAGCGCCACGACGAGGAGCCCCTCAACACCCCCAGGGGCTGCAGATCCCCCGGCCCCGGCGTCAGCGGGCTGCCGCGCCAGCGCGGGACCAGCGCCTCCTGCGAAGTTCGAACGTTCCCCCCTTGGCGTCGGCTTGAAACGCTTTTGCCCATGATTCAAGTCACACCCAAGGACCCAAGGAGCACGCAGCTTGACACACCAATCACTCGATGCTGAAACACACGTGGGCAGCCTGAGCGGAAGTAGATTAACTTTGAATGTCGCATCTACGCGGCCGAAGTTTGGCGAAACACCCTGCGGCCCGTCCGTGTCCAGCAGTTGTGAGTCCAAATATAGCTATTTGCCCTTTGCGTGTCAACAGGGCCCAGCCGAGCCTCTAGGCAAAAAAAGAAAAGGTCTAGATCCAGCAACCCCCACGGAAAGCATCCGGCATCGGCGTCTGCCACCGTTTTTTCTTTCGGCTCCTGGCGCCGTTCCCCTGGTGCGGGCCGCCGGGTCTCCACCAGCACCCGCCATCGCGAAGCTGCCACGGCCTAAGGTCGAAATCGAGGCGCTCAGAGGAGCCTCGAGCTGCATGTGGCTGTGGTTGTCAAAACCCGGTACCCCTGGTTTGTTTTCACCAAAATAGGTGGCACATGGGAATCCATTCCGCCCCAAAATGCCATAGGTTATTGACGAATGGACTGCGGATGGTTGCGAAAACCACTTTGCACTACTTTGAAACCATGGTTGGAACCACAAGGTTTGTTGGGTATTTACAAGGGGATCGTATCATTCCAGGGTGTCTTAGGTGCTTGCGAAATGGATTTCGTCCATCCACAGTATTATGCCTCTAGTTGCAGTTATGTTTCACACGCCTCTTACTCCATATTTTATGTTTGTCGTCATGTGGATTGCGGTCTGAAGCTGCTCCCCAGCATGCTGGAAGCTGCACAATCCTTGCTTCGTCATAGCGGGGAAGTCAAGCACCAAACGAACAAAGATTGCACTAGATTGCACTAGCGCAGGCGTCTTCTTCTCAACTGGTATCACAGTCACGCTGCCTTGGCGCGTTCCTGGATACTTCCCATTCCTCTTGCGAAGAAGCCATTGTCCAGTTGATCCTAGCTGTCGCGAACCTAGCGATGCAGTCTTTGGTTGAACTCCTTCAGCCACCCGTGTGCCTTGCTTTGCTTGGAGCCGAGTGGCCGGCGCCGATACCTCTAGCTTCCTCAGCTGCCCCCGCCCACAGAGCCACGAGAGAGCAATAGCAAGAGGGGCCAACAGGCAGGAGCTCACACTCTCACAGCGCACCGCTTTCTTCCTGAAGGCCAGGCAGGCTCGCTCTTGGGGACTGATGGCACGGGCAAAGTCCCCTTCCGCCCCATGCCAAAGAGTCGTCAGCTGCGCCTTCAGCTCACTCATGAGCTCTTTGTTTGCCAAGAGCTGCTGCGGGTCGTGCGGGAAGCTCAACACATATCGAAGGGAGCTTGCCCCAAGCACATCAATCCTTGGTCGCAACTAAGCCCTGTCACTCCCCTTTCAAATTGTGTGGGCTCGGTCGGCTGATGGCTTGCCATTCTCAATCACTCGCTTCCTTCCGCCCAGGGGCATCACGCGTTTCAACCTGTTCCTGTTGACCGCCGGCCGAAGAGACTCGCAGAGCCCCACCACATAGTCCTCCAGTGGCTGAGATGGCGGTTCCGCTGCCGCTTGCCACATTTGAAAATTTGTCTGACGTGGCACTGACGTTCAGCTTCCCCATGTTGGTGGTTTGGGTTGGTTGTGGTGAAACGGAGGGGTTTCCCTACCCTCCACAAGAACCAGGGTCCCAAACCAATTCAGGATTGCCTGAGCCGTGGCCCCCACATGGCTGTTGGTCCAAAATAGGTACCCAAAATGGAACCCAAACCTGTGGTCCCCTGATGGTTTAATTTTGACCCACACCTGGAGAAACCTCGGCGGGTCTAGCGGTCCGGTGCTCGGCGATTCGGGTCTCCTCCACCTCGGCGCAGTTGCTCCACCAAACATCCTGCTCCAGCATCCAAAGCCGCGAGAAGCTCCCGGGGTCATAGAGCTGGTGCACCTGCCAAGTCCCAGTTTTGGATGGAGCTGAGGCCTAGCAATCTGCCGTGGGGCAAGTTCTTTGAGTCTGCATTCCTGGTTCTCACGTGCAATGTTGCGGGTTGCCACGCTAGGCTGTATTCACGCAAGGCCGGGAAGTCTCGCCTTCAGGATGGTGAAGATGGCGCATTGCAGAAAGAGCGACAAAAGCTCGCCGATGTTGGGCTGCGTTGGCATACCTCTGCGAACTGTTTCGGTAAGCCAACAGATAGCTGGCCACTTACATCTCCAAAGCCCCCGGCCTCATGAAGCTGAGCAAACTGATGCGTGGAATGTGCTGCTGCGTGCGAGCTGGGTGGTGGCTGTCAGATCTAAGCGGCTGTTCTATGCATCGGGCGTGCGAATGAGCTTGGCATACGCCGGACAAACTCTGCATCCTTGAGAATCCAAATGGCTAGCGCGCTTTGATCCTGCATCTGTTCTTCCGTTGGGCAGAGACGCCAGCACGCCAGAATGCCCAGCTGCAGAACACAAGTGGCCTTCGTGGATTCGAAATCCAGTGAGATCACACCGGGCCAGCCAGCAAAGAAACAACACCCGGTTGAAGATTGCAAGAAAAGGGGCCTCAGTACGAGTTGCTTGTAGCGTACTTACTATCAGGTGGGCGCAGGGTCTAGTCATGCTGACAGATCTGCCAGCCTGCGTCCAAAGGGGCGCAGTCCGCCACTTGCAGGGTGCGCCTGACACAGGGCTTGATCCCTGTCTATGAGAACACCTCTCCTCAGCGTGCACACGCATGTCGCATGCTGCCACCTTTCCAATGCATCTGCATCCGGTTGCCTGCTGCCTGCTTCATTGTCACCGTGCGCGCCTATTTGCAGTGCCATCGCAGAAGAGTGCAACAGCTTCATCCAAATCGCTGTTCAGATCATCGTCCAAGTAGCCTGCCACGTAGAAGCACCAAGCCTGCATTCAAACAGTTCATCACTGGGTGCTTTGCAGACCAACTTGGAAGAGGCCCCCCCTTCTCAACCAGCATTGTCAATGGAACTGGCTGCTCAAAATCTAGCTGTCCAGGGGGCACAGAATTTGGCGCTAGAATCAAACAAACCAAGAGCCCTTTCATCCCCATCACTACGTGAGGCACTTCTTGCAAAGTCGTTGGACCAGCTGAAATGGCCATGGGTCAAAAGCCCGTGCCCCCAGTGAACATCCCAATCCCCACTAAAATAGACTAAAACGGTGGTGCACCTACCCCAGAATGGTACCATTGACCCACAGCCAAATCCTTGCACCTCGCCAAGGGGCCCAGTCGTCTCAGCACCTCCGATGGCAGCTCGGGCGAGTCTTCCAGCAAGAAGGGCCCGCCTTCCAATGGAGGGCACAGGCGAGTGCCATGAAGAGAGGAATGATGTGTCACAAATGAGGATGAGCCAAAATTAAGCCACCAGGAATTGGAACGAAGGTTTTAGTCCATGGTTCCATTTACCAGGACAAGCCATTTTGGGTACCTATCTTGGACCCACTGCCAAATGGCAAGCTGTTGTTGTTTTGCCTGAAAGGGTATCTGCTCACAAGTGCGAAGCCTTCATTCGGCCAATGCTGTCGCTCACCCATGCCTCCTAAATAAATTGAGCGGCAATCCGCTGTACCATATCTGGCGATGACCTCCTGTGCCGCGCTTGTGACCATTCAACCCGAAGCACATGCGCATGCAAGGGGTGTGATGCTTACCTTCTGCCTATTTTGCCACCAGCGTCTTCGGGGCTCAAATCCCCAAGGCCGCATGCGCTCCTTGGTGGAACGGCCTTTGCTGCCCAGGGGCATCACAAAGGCCATCTCTGCGCTGCGGAGTTTCCACGTGGAGCCTTGCGCTCAGCTTGAAATATCGCGAGCTTCTAGGGGACACTTCCATTTCCATTCTTTCCAGGGATCATTTTTCTCAGAAAACCAGAATCCAAGGGGAAACAGCGATCGGTTTTTGAAAAGAAGGATGGTTGAAAGAATGGGGAATCAAGCCCTAGGGAGTTAGAATAAGTCTTGAGAAAGCCCCAGCGCCTCCAAAGGGCACCAACTTCAAATTTTCTGAGCATTCCCCCAATTGAGGCCCTGCCTGAACCTAGAATGTCGTTGAGCTGGTGAAGCGGGTACTGCGCAGGCCAAACCGTCAAGCGGCTGGCGACGTTCTGTGCCCAGAACCTGACCAGGGGAACAGAACCTGCTCATTGGCATGTGGCTGTGGTTGTCAAAACTGGATACCCAAAATCGCTTGCCTTGGTAAATGGAACCATGGACGAAAACCTGCGTTTTTGTGGTGGTTTAAGTTTGGCTCATACCCATGTTTCACTTACCGGACAACCTGCCAGGCACAATCTCCGGGCTCCGGCCTTGCGATAGCAGGTGCGATGGCATCCCGGGGCGTCTCCATGAAGCCATGCTCCAGCAGGTGAGCAATCAAGTGGGTGATGTCCGGCAAGGGCCCGCGCTCCTGGAGGATCGGCTCAACGCAGCCAGCAGCACCAGTCGCATCGAGCACCGCCCGCATCCGCGGCGTGCGGAATCCGAACCAGGCCACCTCGACCCAAAACACCTCCACGCCCCTGCGCCGGAACTGCGCCGCCAGGCCGACGGACTCGGGGCAGCGGAAGGCCGGGCCTTCCAGCAGCACGGCCCAAACTTGGGCGCCCCGCGCGGTCAGCAGCTCCGCCAACGCCACGAAGTCCACGTCCAGGTTGGCGTCCCAAGAGCTCGCCGGGCGGCCCTCGCGCTCCGACGGCATGAGCGCCACGACCGCGTGCTCGGCCCAGCTGAGGGCCGCTCGCGCCAGCGCGGTGCTGGGCAACTCCTGCGCTTCGGGCTCCACGGCGACACCTTCGGCCCCAGACTCCTCGCAGAACTTCCGCCACTCCGGGCGCCGCAGCTGGCCCCTCGCGGCGAAGACGCCCGTGTACACCACTCGCCCGCAGCTGCTCAGCGCCTTCCACGCGGCACGAAACTCGCGGGGGCCCTGGCCGTCCCCGTCCATGAGCACCGCCACGGCATCTCGCGCGCCTGCGCGACACCTCGTCCGCGCAGCGCCTGCGGCGCCGAGGGCGAGCCCGGCGAGGGCCAGGCTTCGGCGCACGCGGATGGCGGGAAGCCGCCTGCTGCAAACGGCAGCTGGCGGGTGAGCAGCGGGCCGCGCAGCACAAGGCCGAAGCCATGCTGCCATGCGAAGGTTATGCTACGCGTCGTCTTATTTGGTTCTGCATGAGGTTGACGTCAGGCTACTGGCCGATACTGGCCCTAACCAATCTGTTGGTTGGTGCTTGCGCAGTTGATGTGTGTTATGTGCATTCAATTGGTGTGTTGCTGATTTGGTCCAAATGCATGTTTCTGCTAGTGCGAGATCAAGTACCTCCCAGCAAAGATCTGGCGAAATTGGACCACTCCCCGGTGCTCAAAGTTGAACAGAAAGAATGGAGCTACTTCTGTCAGATGCTGCTTGCAGAATATTCGGCCCTTGCCATGTTGCCCTGGCTGCGCAGGCAAGCGCGGGTGCTTGCAGTCAGGCATTGCTTACCTCGTGGCACGCGACAGCCTTACTCAACTTGGTCATGCGGACAGTTGAGGGAAGCAGTTGGCCACGTCTGTTGTGGAGAGCTCCCTGCAACCAACCGGATCACAAGAAGCAGCTGGCATCCACTGAGGTGCCGGCTGCACCCGTCATGGGCTCCACCACCTGACCCGACCTCCTCCCCTTCATCATGCTCCACTTGACTCAAGTCCCTTGACTCTCGTGCAGGTCGGATTAAACGTCGCATCACCAGGTCCGAACGCGGGCGGTAGCCGGTATCAACAAATGGCTATGGGTTAAAAGCCCGCAACTGCAGTGAACATCCCAATCCCCACTACAATAGACTAAGATGGGTGGTGAATTCACCTACCCCAAAATGGGATCCCATTGGTTTCGACCCACAGCCAAATATCAACGGATGGCAATTCTCTTCACTGGCGTCTGCGCCTCTGGGTTCAGCTCCATGGCTGCCCTGCCAGGCAGAGGGCTCTTCTGGCTGCCAGTTGGCAGGTCACATGCGCCTCGCCAAGGTGCTCAGCCTCAGCTCCTCCAATGCCTTGGAAAGCGGGGCCCGGTGCATAAACTGCGCTTGGTCAGACCTTTGCCAGGGCCCGGTGAGAAACTGTTCGCTGGTGTCATTTTGCAGGGCTTGAGTGCTCCTGTCCCATTGCAAGCCAAGCCAGCGCTGCAACGCGTGTGACAAACCTGGATGTGGGTGCAACACCCACATGCCCACGCTGAATAAGGCAAGCTCGGAGAAAAGAAGGTGGAGGTTTTGCAGATGGTCATATCCTCGCGAAACCGATCGCCGAGGATGTGAGACTCGCGGGCCGGATCGGAGCATCAAACAAAAGGCACATCAAGCAAAAGGCAACAGCATGACTGCTGGCAGGAAGAAGAAACTCAGTAGCAACAAGTACCGGTTAACATGGAACCTGACAGGGGGGCCCTTTACTTCCAGGATCGCCCCTGTCCGGGTTCCATGTCAACTGGTGGGAGGGGAACTCGCCAGGCTAAGCCACCCCCCCACCACATCACCCCGTCCAAAAGGCTCTGCACTGCGCCAGCCCAGCTCAAGGCGCCGTAGGACCTGTCCAGTAGAACCCGTGGCCAAATGCGAGGTCTGTCTGTGTGGTGTGGGTGTGTGGGTGTGTGGGTGTGTGGGTGTGGGTGTGGGTGTGGGGGTGTGGGTGTGTGGGTGTGTGGGGGTGTGGGGGTGTGGGTGTGTGGGGGTGTGGGGGTGTGGGGTGTGTGGTGTGTGGGTGTGTGGGTGTGTGTGGGTGTG